AAATCCCGTTTATGCAAATCTGACAGTGCAAGCGCTAGCCAATCAATCCACGTGCAAGCTGGGAGAGCCAGCTCTCATATTCCAAACGAGAAATTACGGTAGCAAATCACCCGGTTCTTTACGACCAGAACTATTTACTGGGATACAAACCGGAGGAGCCAGGCTTGGAGGGAGGTGGCAGACACTGTGGGTGAAACTGGTAGGTTTTCGCCTGTTTGGGGAGTTTATATATTTATATATATATCTCGCATAAAATCCCCGGGGTTTTTTGCTTTGTATGTCGGCGGCGGGAGATTCATGTGATTGGTTGTTGGACGCGTTGCTCGCAAAAAATCCCCAAGCTCTTAGACACGCCCAGCTCCAAGATTTTCAAGATTTTTTCAAAGCTGCTGTGTGGACGGGCCGTTAGCGCCGGAGCCTCGCAGCGTGGAAACTGTGGCACGCATAATTTTACAACTAAAGACACAGCTACACAAAATGCAGCATGTGTACAGCTCATGTGTACGGCTCTGATAATCTGCCTTGGTACACAGTAGCAGTGAAAACATGGTACGGAGTTTCATTGATTTGGGCATTCTCACAATAAGCAAGTGGAATGGATTTGATAATGAAGCACTGACACAGCGCTCTACAGAGAGCGGAGAGTGGATAGACCGATGCACGGACTTTCCGCGTAGTAAAAGTGGGGGGGTCTAAACTAATCATTTTAAAAGGTGGGGGGGACTTGTCCCACCCTCATATAATGAGTGCGACGCCCATGACTGTAACTAGATAATGCACTTACCACACCATTATGAAAGATACATTACCATCATCACCAAAACATTTCCATAGGCTTAATTTAATAATGTGATTACAATGTGATTTTCATATTTGCATAGTTTCGTGTTCCTGCTAATGGAAATGTTTCGGGCCATTGTTGCGTATTTGCACTTGTTGGCCACAATACATCATTATCAAATGAATATTTAAGTGCAGTTTAATGGTTGTGACTTGATCTCTTGTTAGGCAGCTTTGGAAATCTTTGATACCTGGGAGTAGCAGACTTTACAACTAATATAAACGTTGTGTTCAAAGACACCAAACGTGGCGCTGTCATCAAATAACTAAAGCACAATCTACTCATAGATTCTCCACAGACTCACTCTGAACAGTATTTACCTCAATCTAAATCAACACCTGCGTCACAGAATAACAACAGGATCAACAACCTCTCTGGAGTTTCAAAAGGTTTAATGAAAGCAGTCGCTGTTCGCAGTTCTTCCAGGTAAAGCAGGACAGCAATGCGTAGGCGGCTCACAGCAGGATGATTAGTCTCTGAGCGCCCCGACACCATGGCTCGCAGCATATGAGACATGCCGGCCCTGTATAATGGCCTTATTAAGATAATGGAGGTAGTTACAGGCTTCGTCTTCCTCCAGGTAATTCTATCTATCTGCACGCTCAATACAATGCAATACCTGCAAGTGTTTTTCCGTCCGAGGGGTGCTTCAGCGTAGACATGGAGCTATTTCTGTTTGTTTACACCATAATCCAGGAGAAAATGCTCAGCTATTATAGCCATCTTTTTTCAGCTTTTCCATTCATGAAATATGTATATCTTGGCGGTTTTTACCTGACATGATAAATTGTGCGAGGCATTTCATAGATTCTGTGTTTGGCAGCCTCGCTGAGTAAAGCCGGCCAAATCCATGGGTCATGTCGGGTCCCCTGGACTCTTTAAACCGGCTGCTGATGTTGGCTTACATCTGAGGACCTGCTGCCCAGCAAGGAGCAATTTGATCCATCATTTCAAACAATCATGCGTGCTTCAAGACGAGAGCTGAGTGTGACGTACAGTGTATCCTTTGGTGTTATGAGGCCTAATGGAAGGCCTGTGAAAGCTGCTAAAAGAGTATCAGTGTTGGGATGTAATAAAGTATATTATTTACTCAAAAATTGTACTTAAATATAATTTTGAGATTCTTGAGTATTTCTTTATTTAAGTATTTTCATTTTATGTTACTTTAAACTTTTACTGCATCACATTTTGGAAGACAATATTGCACTTTTTACTCCTCTGCATTTATCTCTCAGCTTTAGTTACTTTTATTAGCTATAACAAATGTAGGTCAACTAAACAAGTAGATATTAGTATCCTCATAGGTTAAGATATCCAGCAGCAGTATACACAATAGTTACAATTGGCTCCAAATGTACCTTTGGTGATGAACACGTGAATGCATCAATAATCATAATCCAATAATTTGTTATATTTGATATTTACGCTTAACAAGTACTTTTGCAAATTTTTATATTTTGATGCCTTTGAACACACTCTCAATCATTCTGTTCAAATGATCAAGGTTAACAACAGACAGTCACAGAGAAGTCAATCTCTCTTTTATAAAGTTGATCAGATTTACTTTTTCAAAGACACCTGAGGCCTGTACGACGAAGCCGGTTCAACCTAACCTGGATATGTTTGAGTTACCCGGTTTACCTAATCCAAAACAAACGCGCTCTCGCTAAACTGTCCTACGACGCTGGTTATCAACTCGTTAACTCAAGTTGATTAACGTTCACATGAAAGGGGTGGTTGGAGCATTCGACCAATCACAAGCATGGACAAGCCAGTACTGACAGCACAGCGTCTTACTTCCTGAATGAAAAGTGAACTTTAATTAGACAAATATTAAGACGTTAAACTTTAAACATTCATGTCTTAAACACTTTATCCAGGATAAAAGTTTGGGATATATATTTTTGAAATCCTCTGGAGCAAAGAGAGGAGCTGTGGATTATTGTTATTGATTAATGCATCAGTGTTTCTTAGGGTCAAAAACACTAAACTCACAACTTAAAATGAAAGCGTTTAGTTTATTTAATAAAAGAGCACATGTTCAATGTGAAAAGTGACAGTAGATATCCAAGACAATGGTAGGGGAAAGACTGGATATGATATGAATGATAATGGGACACATTGAAGTCTGCGCTCACAGTGCCGCGGACTGTACGTAATGTTACTTTGATCCGGTTACTTATGTTGTGGCAGATATTTAAGTAAGCTTTCTTAACGCTAATGTTATAATAGTCAGATTGCTCTGAAGGTGGGAGGTGATATTCTATTAATGTTCACGTTCACACAGTCTGTGATTTTTGCCGGCCGTCTTTCCTGAAACGGCAGTTTTTCTGTATTTCCTTTCTCCTTTAATATGACTTGATAGCTTTAAACTCCGCACACTGAGCTCTGATTGGTCAGCAGGCAGTGCTGTCACTGAGTTGAACTCAGTGACAGCACTGCCTGCTGACCAATCAGAGCTCAGTGTGCGGAGTTTAAAGCTATCAAGTCATATTAAAGGAGAAAGGAAATACAGAAAAACTNTCCACAGGCCAACAACAGCTTCAAAAAAACTATTTCCCTCAAAGAAAAAACCAAACATGCCCTGTTGTCTCAAGAAAGAAAGTGCAGAAGTAAACATCCATAGAAACTCAGGTTGCTGCTCTGATGCTAGTTCAAGCCAGACACTTGGCATCTCGTCACGGGTGCAAGTTCATCAATGTTTGGGGTCAGGCTCTGAGCTGAGGAAACCCTTAGTATGGAGTGAAGGTGCAATATACCGGCGAGCCAGATCTAATAGTAAT